AAGAAAAGACCAAAGTACAAGAATTCTAAAAATGTGTAAACTCTTAATTAGCAAACAGAGCCAGGTGTGGTGGCGCATGGCTGTCATCCCAGCACTCGGGAGGCTGAGGCAGGAGGATCATTCCAAGTTCGAGACCAGCCTGGGCTACAAAGTGAGCTCAAGGCCAGCCTGAACTGCATAGCGAGACCCTGTCTCAAAAAGACGTTCAAAACAAACAAAAAGACATTTAAAAAATTAGCAAACAGATAAATTTAAGGGGATGGGAGTCATTCTCTTTAGTCAGAAATACCCAACACCTGGCTGCCTATGTGAATGCTACTGCTAACTGTGAATGCTAGTTGGTGATCTGTTTCCTGCCCCTGTCGGGGAAGCCACAGATAGACACAGTAGAGCTGCTGCAGGCCAAGGTGCAACGCAGCAGGTCTGATGATAGACGCCTGCACAAAATGCTCTGGGAGCACAAAGACAGCCCTCGGGGAATGGGGAGCAAAACTGACCCCTGACCCAAAGTGGAATTCACTAGGAACAGCAGGCAGCGTTTCCTGCCAGACCAGTAAACGACAACACAGGAGGGAGGGAGAGCTCGGATTCAGGGAGCCAGCACTGGGTATGAAGGCCACACACCCAAGAGCTGCGCGGCATCAGAATGGGGCAGCGATCGTTCATCACTGCACTGCGTGGCTTCAACCACATGCCCCTCTGGGATGAGAGGGAACTCCACGCCCGCTCCGATGGTTTTCTTTAAGGACACCAGAAGGAGCTAGAGTAGCAGTGCCCAGGTTATGAAGTCGGCCTTAGCCTTGGATCCTGAGCCCTGTCTGTTCTCGAGGTGTGCGACTGTAAGTAAGGTGCTCTTTAAGCCTCAGTCACCTCTTCTGTTAATGGGAATAAACCTCCCATCCTTGGAGTTACTACAAGGATACTAAGACGTATGGAGGTCAGTTATGACTGGCGTCCAGAGCACAGAAGATCCATTGCCTCTTCCCATGCACTGTGACAGTTCCCAACTGAATTCTCCTTTTTAAATTTCATTCCAGATGAGGCTCTGTAGCTCACAGCCTCGATGGACCAGTCACAACTTCGGAATGTCCTTACTGAGTGTTATGCTAGGCAAGGCGCCTTGTCCCTCCTTCTGACTCTCGTATTTCCTAATTTCCTTCCACTCTATTTTATTTATGCATTTTTTGGAGACACAGTCTCACTATGTAGTTCAGGCTGCCTTGAACTCACTAGTGTAGCCTATGCAGGCCTCAAACTCATGGCCATCCTCCTGCCTCAGCCTCCCAGGTGCTGGATTACAGGCGTGCGCCGCCCCATCCAGCTGTCTTTAAATGGTAATTTTTTCATTTCTTCCCTCACCTATATTCTGGAAAACTTTTTTTCGCTCATTAATTCCCACTGAACATACTTTTCAGGGGCTACCAGTGTGCCCCAAAAGATCAGCACCAGCCCAAAGCCCTTCCATTTATGTAGTGACAAAGAGACCATTGGTTCTCAGTCAGCCATATTGTTGTAGGTACAAAAATCTTACACATAAGCCTTCCTGTGTATTTCATACCCTGCCTTGCCAGGTAAACGGCTCACTGGCAAGTGGGGAGGCTCTCCTTTGAGGTTTGGCATCTGGCTCCACAAAGTCACGGTTCTTTAGTTTTTTAAGAGCCAAGAGTCACTAGCTTATCCAGTAACTTTCTGCTATTGAGCCAGTTCGTTTTACTGATTAACTGGTTTTCCTTTGGGGAGGGGGGGCTTAGTTTGCATACCAAATAAAACAAAATTACTAGACCTGACTCATCTCTCCATTCTCTCTAGTCCCAAAGACCCACTCCCCCGCCAAAAAAACCAAAAATAGAAAAACACAAAAGAACACTTCATGAATTTGTGTCACTCTAACAGGGTGCCACGCTCCTCTCTCACTGTAGCACTTGTGCTGCGGAAGCAACTGCTTGACTTCTTTTGAGAAGATAAAACCAAAAGCTCCCAGAAAAGAAATACTCACAATGAAAACAGAAGCCCAAAAGCAAAACAGAGAAAACAGAGTGATATTCTTGGCTTAAACAGCACCCGTTAGGCACATACGTCAAACACGGTGCACATGCACACACACAGGCCCCTTACTTAATCCCCAGGACAGCCTCGAGAAGTTATTTTTATTTGACAGTGCAGGACACAGGGGCTGGGGGGGGGTGGTAAGTGACTGTCTGTGGCCCCTAAGCTAGTATGTGAGAAGGAATGAAAATCAGAGTCCGGGTCTGGCTCTAAACCCCCAGTGCAGCCCCGTTACAGCTACCCAAACAGCTGTGTCTGCAGTCAATACTAACGTGAGTCATCACTGACGTTCACCTGGCTCTTCTCAGGAGGCAGGCAGTGTGCTAAGCCATCTATGGACAGGATTTCATTTAATCCCCTGGATGCTCCACGAGTTGGGTTTATCAAGTTCTCCATTCCACAGTCAAGGAAACGGAGTTTCCTAAAACCTCAGTAACAGTGGGGAGTATGGCCAGAGTTTGAACTGAGGTCTAACTCCAGAGCCCATTCCCTTAACCTTTCATCAGTCTGAAGGAAACTCAACTCTGGTCCTGCCTCCAACCAGGCACGTCACTTGATAGTTCACCTGAATTTCTTTGCTGATTATATGGGGATATTGTTACTTGTCTCTACCTGCTTCAGAGAGATGTCAGGATTATAAAGCGAGAAACTGCTATATAAATCCAGGTACCGTCACAGTTTCTCTCAGATGTCCCCTATCTTGTCATCAGAAAGAGACTTAGCTGACAGCATTGGCTCTTACACATCCTCTGAAGTGGGCAGTGAGTATTATTTCCACTTACCGAAGAGCCGAAGCACAGGAAATGACGTAACTTGTTAGTCAATGGCAAAGCTGGGAATAAAACCTGAGACTTCTAACTCCCACTGCTTATGTTCTTAGGATAAACTCTATTGCTGCATTTCAAATTTAACTGTAAAACACACAAGGGCCGATTACCCTTCGGAATAAAACGTCCACTTCAGAACAGAGATTAAATACTTACAGAAATTAAATTTTCTATAGCAATGACATGGGTACAATCCCACAGGTTTTCTTAAGCCTCATATTCTAAAGAAACTGCACAAAGAACCAAAAAGAAAAAAATTTCCATCTCCCTTGTACGGATTTCAGTTCTTTAGTTTTCTCAGTTGACTTATTAACCAAAGTTAATAAGCTGACTTATTATTGACCAAAGGTTACAAAACTAGGTGAGTTACTAACTAGTTTCAACTGGTTGAATCTATAAGCTTTCACAAGGAACAGAAAACCTCATTCTTAAATTGTTTGCTCATAAAGTCAGAATAAAAAAAATCAAATACTTTATCACATCATAAACACCAAATACAGCTAATAATTCGGGCTGGAAGTTATTCTAAAATATCAACTCATAATATCCTGAGCCGAACATTGAAATTTCAAAGGGAAGAGCATAATTAAAACAATAACGAAGGTATACTGGCACCATTAAAAATCATTCTCCTGCACAGAAATCAAAAAAAGAGCTTGGTGTTTCTCACACAAGACTCATCAGACGGGTGCAGACCTTTAAAAGACAAAGTCAGGAGGCCGATTCTGCCTTCACATCTCTGGCTTAAATAGGAAACGAGCGTTCAGTGTGGTTCCTCCTAATTCTTGTTGTCTAGAAAAGCACAATGATCTTTCAATTATTACGAGCTTAATAATCACACACTTTCAAATTACCACAGCGAATAAGGAGGAGAAACGAGAGAAAAACATTGCTGTGCTCAAAACTGAACTGAATACTGGAGTCCATGAAAGCATCCTTATTATTCCCACCGGCTGACTGAATCACAGACTTCTAAATGAAAACCCATTGTTTTGTGAAAGGAGCAAAAAACCAAGTTAGGAATCCAAAGAATTATTCCACTAATGTCAAGAAAATTCCCATCTTGAGTGGCCTGAGGCATCTGAAGCCACTCCCGGCTACATGCTGTAGGGTGGCACAGGATGACAGCGGCCTCGGAGGCCTGCCAGAGGCTGTCCTCAGACGTTAGCCCAGCTTTCCTCTGAGAGAACTCTTTATCTTGCCTTCTATCATTGAAACTACTCCCGTCTTCTGTTGGGCAAGGAACCCCGAGGTCTCTTAAACTTTAATGTGAACATGAATCACCCAGGGATCTTGTTAAACTGCAGAATGATTCAGAAGGCTGAGCTGTCAGCCCAGGGAGCTGTCAGCTGGTGTGAATGGTGCTGCTTGCTGGACCATACTTTGATAAGAAGTCCAAGGAACGTCTCCAAATAGAAACAACCTCAATCCGATGCTTCTCAAAATATACAGCCTCCACCCAGAGTCTATTAAGACAGAGAATATTCCAGAGCTTACACAAACTCACAAGCTTTCTAAGCACCCCACTCCTCACCCCTGCTTTTTGTTGTAGTGTTGGGAATGAATCCCAGGGCCTCACGCACGCTATTGCTACAACCTCAGGCTCTTTTAAAAATTTTTTTGAGGCAGACTCTTGGTAAGTTTCCCAAGTTAGCTTTTTTTTGGTTTTTCTTCTGGTACCAGGAATCAAACTCACGACCTTGCACTTGCCAGACAGGCACTGTGCCGCTGAGCTAAATCCCCAAGCCCCGAAGCTAGCTTTGAACTTATGAATATCCTGCCTTGGACACCTCCGATTTTATTATTATTATTATTATTATTATTATTATTTTGGTTTTTTGAGATAGGGACTCGCTATGTACCCCAAGCTGGCCTCAAATTCACGGAGATCCTCCTGCCTCAGCCTCCCAAATGCTGGGATTATAGATATGTGCCACCACACCTGGATGCTCTTTTTATTGAGACAGCATCTACACCAAGTTGCCTGTCTGGCCTTGAACTTGCATTCAGCCTTGTGTTCCTTGCCTCAGCCTCCTTAGTAGCTGACATTGTAGGTGTCCTCCCCTACATTTTTGTGACTTTTGCCATCTGGTTACACACCTCAGTGAAGAACAGCTCCCAAGAACATGGTTTGTGCTGACAATTTATTGGAGCACAGTAAATTGGGGTAAACTGATTGGAGCTTTATATGGATGGACATAAAACTTTAGCCTTTTTATTAATACAGCTGATTCAAAATAAATATTTTTAAAAATTTTATCAAACACTAATGAGTAAGTGTTGTTTACAAATAGTTTGTAAGAGAATCATTTGGGATTAATATTCATTTTCTCCACAAAATAAATAGTTCATTTAACTCTCCTTAAGCAGAGAAAATAAAAGCCCAACAAAAATAAAATCATGCCCATGGTATCAGCAAAATATTACTTTTAGTGAGGAAAATACCAAGACTAAGACATACGAAAGTATCCAAGGAGAATTACATGTTACTGAATTTGTTCTAGAACCTGGGAGTTTGGGGAAAAAGAATAACTGGTAATTTTAAGAAAAACTTTGGATGGCAAAGTTTTGCCAAATCCAAGCAGCTATCACACGCGTTTCGAAGCTCCCTGATTCTCCCTCCCTGCCGTTCCGGCCGCTGAGGGGAACACATGTGGGGAAGGAGCCGGAGAGAAAGGAGCATCGCTTCTCTGCACTTGGAAGGAGAGGCCCCATCTCAAGAGTCTCTGCTCTGTCCCAGGCCGCGTCTCAGTGCTTGTGGGCCGCGCGCCTCAGCCCCATGACGGTGAAGGTGGCCGCCGTGAGCTTCTCGTAGACGAGGAACATGAGCGCAGCGGTGAGGACCGTCTGCAGCAGTTTGGCTTCGAGGCCTTTGTAGAGTCCCATTATTCCAAAACGCCTGAAATGAAAAGAGGGTGGAAAAAAAAGGTTTTCTTTGTAAAAGGCAACTCCTGCATCAGAGACACAACCTACTCTAATAGCTACTTTGAGAGGTTTTTTAAGATCCAAACAAGCAATGGAGGTTTTAGATTTTCAACACAGACTTCTGTTGTCAGAGGATTTCTTAGCTTTAGAAGCATCTGGGGACTGATAAAATTTAGTATTCACAAGCCATCAATACCTTGTCTTTAGAGTTATCATTAATTAGTGGAATGCTGGCAATATCCCAGTAGTAGGATGTAGATTCTAAAATATCTCATAAACTATTTTAATGCCAAAATGTGAGATCCAAGAATTTTCTCCCAGCTGGGCGTGGTGGCACACGCCTGCAATCCCAGCACACAGGAGGCTGAGGCAGGAGGATCTTTGCGAATTCGAGACCAGGTTGGGCTACAAAGTGAGCTCAAGGCTAGCCTGAACTACGCAGGGAGACCCTGCCTCAAAAAGACAAAAAAAAAATTTTTTTTTTTCTTCCAACATGGTTGTTTCAAAGTCACTAAGCGCTAGGAAAGCTGCTACTGATTTAGACCCTTTTAGCCCCGAAGAACCAGAGACAAATGAAAAGCTGCCTTCTCAGACTTCCCTTAGGTCTGGTCCTACAGCCTATAGTTCCCAAATTTAGCAAGCACCTGAATCACCCAAAGAGCTTGTTAAAATAGAGATTGGGCACCTGAATCACCCAAAGAGCTTGTTAAAATAGAGATTAAACTTAATCCTGATTAAGTTTAGAACGGGACTCAAAAATCCACACTTCTAACAAGCTTCCAGGCCGGGATGACGATGCCAGTGAGGGCAGAGGGCGGCCCTAGAAACTGCTCAGGGAAAATGCTTCCCTAGGACCTGGCGTTCAGAGAGTGCAGTAGCCTCCTATGCTAACTCATCAGCAACGCCAGGGCTACATACAGCAGGCAGACTGAGGGATTACCACTACTCAAGCTCCATTCACAACTTCTTACTGTATCTTACATACTTCCTGTGTGAAAGTTCATTATTACGGGAAGTCGTGACAAACAGAGATGGAAAGACTTAACCCATGACTTTCACTAACAAATTATGTCACATATACACACACATATATGCAAAAAACAAAACAAAAAAATCCACCTCTCTGCTTCTTAAATTGAGCTTCACCCACATCAGAAATGCTGCGTTTGTTTAGCCATGGAGATTACCAGGCACCAATGCAGAGAGAAGGCATAATTTTGCATTTTAACAATCGCCCCCAACGATTCTATTTTTGTGAGACAGGGTTTTACTAGCCCAGGCTGGCCTCGAACTCAGTGATCCTCCTGCCTCCTCCCGAGTACTGGGATCAGAGGCGTGCGCAGCCATGCCCAGCATCTGTCTTTGATTTCATTTTCTATCTAACATGTATTCCATTTTTATAATAAATTTATTTTCAAACTATCTTTAATAATGTTGGGCATGGCGGCACATGCCTGTAATCTAATTTCAAGGCCCGCCCAGGCTACACAGTGAGCTCAAGGCCAGCCTGAACTACATAGCAAAACCCTGTCTCAAAAACAAAACAAAACAAAACAAAAGTCATATCCATTTCTGTTTCAAAGGAGGCTCCTAACTTACTCGACTTGCCCAAGTGTCAGTTTCTACACTTGATCTCAGCCAAAAGGCACAGAAGCAACCCCAAGGGGCAGTTTCTTCAAAGGAAACAGGGAAAATTGTAACAATCAAGGAATAAAGACCCGAATTTTTCCATAATTTTCTCAAATGCTGTCAAATACTAAGCTCCTAAACTGAGAAATGCCTGAGCACAGCATGCGAGGGGGGAGGGCGCGATTTCTGAGGCCGCCTCTTCCGTGGCAGCGGCAGGAGAGCAGCACGTCCAAGCGCCCCCGCAGACAGCGGCTGAGCGGGAGGACAGAATGTGATGCACCCGCAACGCTCACTTGACTCGCTGGTGAAGCAGATAGAGAACATTCCGAAGACTCCCCAGTGTTCTGTTTTCTGGGTTTAGTCTGTGACGTCCAAACTGAAGGAGAAAAAAAAGGTAAGTCATTATTTATCTTGTTTTTTTTAAAATTTCTATCTGCAGAGAAAATTACATTGGAGTAGTGTCTTATAGTATTCAATAATAAAAATATCCGACTGGCCCCTTAGATTTCATTAATCCATTTTTCAATTAAGTTAAGAAATATTTTTCAATAAAGCAAGCACAAGGAAATGGGGGGCGGGAGTAGTTCCTGAGGGTTAAATCCAAGGCTACGCATGCTAAGCACACACTCCACTACTGAGCTATGTGCCCAGCCCTAAGACTTTTTATTTTAACAGAGAATTCTGAGGAAAATTCTATCTCCAGAGACAAAAACACGCCCAGGATGATGACTTAGAATTTCTCCGGTGTATACTCCACATTATATGTTGTACTATCACCATATTACAACGTTTATATGAACTCTACTGAATTCCCTTCTGTTCTATTAAGTACCGGTTTTAAAAATTACTCGAGCAAAAACACTTTTAAGTGAAAGTAATAATTTTTAAAACTGAAATACTCTCACTACCACCCCATGTTATCTAGCAATAAATCCTTTGAATTTCTTCTCCAGAAGAGACTTTTCTTTTCTTTCCTATTCTTTTTTTCCCCCTGGTAGTGCTACGGATGGAATCCAGGGCTGTGTGCATGCTAGGCAAGTGCGCTACCACTGAGCTATCCTCTGCCCACATCCTGTCTCTCCTCTCCACCGCTGCCACCCTGGTGCAGGCTTCTAGCTCCACTCGCCTAGATTACTGAAATGGGCTCCTACCTGACCGTCTCACCCCTCTTCACTTCTGATCAATTTAGCAGTGATAACGTCAATTTTCTGAAACTGTGTCTGATCACATTACTATCCAGTTCAAAGCCCTTCAGAGGTGTCCCACTGTGCTAAAAAGAGAATTCTACCTACACTTCTCACTCCAGCTTCCCTGCTCCCGTTCAGTCTCACCCTGAGTGAGTCACCCGGTAGCCACAGAGGACCCCTTTCAGGTCCCATGATACCTAAGGCATCTTGGCATGACGCCTGCTCCTGCATGTACCTTCCTCCCCTTTGCATGACTGGGTGTTTATCTTTCCTTGTATCTTGATTTAAATATGCCTTTCCAAGAAACCACAGAACATTATTTATTTCCTTGCTAGTTCTTGTCTTAATCTGTAATTACCTATTTATTTCACTTGTTTACCTGTTCATACTCTCTTTGCTAGCTCCTGAGGGCAGGGATTATGACTACTCTAGTCAATACCAGGTACCCAACTCCTCACAAAGATTGGACTGCTTAATAAATATGTGAAAATGCCTTCGAAAAGCTAAATCATGAATTTCTCCCTAATGAACTAAAAGAATTAACCTCTTGTTTCTGCAAAAGTGAATTTCATTCCACACCAAATAAGCAGCCAAGGGATAGCAAGCCTTATTCTTAGTGGAATAAGAACCAAAGGGGAGGGCCAGGGATATAGGTCCGTGGCACAGCGCCTGCCTGGCAAGTGCGAGGTTGTGAGTTCGATTCCCGGTACTGGGGAAAAAAAAAAAAAAAGAAAGAGAAGAACCCAAGGGGAAAACAGATGGGGAATACTGTGTCCTAGCCACTTACTGCATTACTGCTACATGAAGATACTGAGACCGCTTTAAATAAAGAGATCAAGGCATTTGACTCAATGCAGGGAGAAGCTCAGTACTCACTCTCAGAATTGACTGTACTGTCTGCATGGGATAGGTGGCCGTGGTGGCGATTGCTTTGGCTATTGCACCAATGATGAACACATCCAAAGAAGAAAGCTGAAAGCAAAGAACAGGCCACATGAAACCACACAAGGAACTACCAGAGATTACTATTCGGCTGCTTTCAAAATCAGAGATTACCTGCATCCGTTTCTTTAGAAGCTGCCGTTTTAAACCTTCATAGAACATGAACTGGATGGCGGGATTGAAGACCAGCAGCAAGGAGGGAAATGTGCCATTCCACAAAGCCAAGATGCCTTCATCTCGGATGATCTGGTGAAAAGCATCTGAGCAAGAAATCAGGCTTTTGAAAAGCGCGACGACAAAGCCCTAACCAGAGAAGTCAAGGTGAATTCTGTTCAAGGGTACCCAGGACACAAACCACACTGCTCCCCGGAAGGGCTCCTCCTTGCAATGCCATGTTAGGGCAAATGCATTAGGACACGTCTGGTTTAATGACTGAGTGCTGTTCCTGTGACTGGGTTGTTAAATGAACTGGTCGCTAAATGAGAAACTGTATATAATGCGTACATTACAATATTCAAAACAAGGAAATGGTCAAAGGAAATTCCAACTTGATGACTTTGCGTTTATTTACATAATTCTCACATGAAGTACCCTAAGGTATAACAGAACATAAAGCTATAGTACTATACAGTACAATCAGCAAAAATTACAGTACTATAGAAACAAGGTTTACCGTGACAAAAAAAAGGCAATGAAGCACTATAAACAAAATGTACAGAACTGTACAGAAAAAAGGCAGTTAAATCTGACTGGTGGGTCGTAAGTCTGAACAGTCACTAAACAGGTAGGTCACTAAATGAGGAATGTTTGTAGTTACCTACTTTTTAACAACAATCAAAGCCAGGTGTGGTGGGAACATGCTTGTAATCACAGTACTTTGAGAGGCTGAGGCAGGTAGATCATCAGTTCAAGCCAGGCCCAGGCAAATTTGTGAGATTCTGACTCAAAAAAAAGTTTTTTACAGGCTGGGCACATAGCTGAATGTAAAGGCCCTGAGTACAATCACCAGTACTACTGGGGGAAAAAAGTCAGGCACTGATTGTCACCAAGCTACTTACTCAATTACCTCAATCATAGGAAATTCTTCCTGACAATCTGACTTTTCAGAACACCAAATTCTTACCACTACTGGGAACTTTGTATTACAGAGAATTGTGAAGTGACAACTCATGATTTACAACAAAGTTCAGTAGGGCAGAAAGTCAATGCCTAGAGTCTATTATGCTGGATTTGACTTACAAGAAAACCACCGTTCCCACTGCAAAGACGGATACATAAGAAAGGAAAATCTGGCAGTGTGATAGCGCTACAAGGCAGAAGCTCAAAGCATCAGATCCAGTATGGTATTTTCATCCAAAGAAAAAGGTATAACAGATTATTGTTCAAAAATATTTACTTAGTTTGGGACTGTAGCTCAGTTGTAGAGTGCTTATCTAGTAGGTGCGAGGTCGTGTGTGTGTGCCTCCCTCCCACCTATGCTCTCTGGGAATATACTTTGCTCCCCTTGTCATGGGCTTGGCTGTATGATGCGCTCTGGTCAATAGGAAGTCAGCAGGTTTGAAACAACTGTACAAGGGGTGTGTCCTCCTGCATTTTTGGCATTACTAGAAGAATATGCTCAAGGCTTGTCCTGGGAGGACGAGGGGGGTACAAGTGCAGTTAAGTCTCTCTGGTGGTTTGGCCTAGATGAGAAAATCCTTGTCAACTCGCTGACATACAAGCTAACCAAATGCTCCCTGACGGTTGCTGGGACCTGAGGTTGTTAGGTAGCTTTACTGTGGCCACAGATTCCCGACACAAAGAGGAAGAAGAGCTTGAGGAACACCACTTAGAGACATTTACCAATAATGCCTTTGTAGTTGGTTGGTACAATGTCTTCATTCCGAAATTTTGCTCCTTGCAGCTTCAGTCTGGTGTTCACCACCCACAGCGGAGTTGTCAGCAACACATTTACCACTCCTTAAAAAGAAATGGAAACAAAGGGGAAAAAAGTGTAACCTACTGCGACTTGTTATATACCGACATCAACTTTACACGCCTGCCACTGACATCGGGTAAAATGTGTCTGTGTGCCAGGGTACAACACATGCCACTATTAGAAGCACTCCGAAGCCTTGTTGATTAATAGCAGAATGGCTCACAGTAGCACCTCTTCACGTGAAAAGAGTAGCGAGTTTCCTTACACAACAGGAAGCAATCAATTGCTGATTTTTAGAGCATTCAAAGTAGCAATTTGGAGCTGGGGATATAGCTCAGTGGCTCAGCACTTGCCTAGCATGCCGGAGGCCCTGGGTTCCATCCTTAGCACAACAAAAAACAAACAAAAACAATTCTGATAATGTTTTAGATACAATTTTTAAACAATGGCTTTGGGGTGTGGTTTACTGGTGACATGCTAAGTCTATGTCAGTATCAGCAAAAGCAGAACTGACAACTCACATAAGTAGTTTACGTAGTTTTAAGTGAGTATGGATCTGGTACAACGGGTGACAGATGGGAGAAAGTGGTGACTTTTCAAAGTGCTTTAACAGGGACTAGAAGCTCACAGAAGAGTTCCTCATGGCTTAAAGAATTAGGGCAGGCAGGCAGGAAGCAGCAGTTATGAAGTGTCACAAAACACCTGAAAAAGCTTCACAAGCATCGTGATCCTTACAAGCATAAGGAGGGCTCTTGGCCCCCCAAGGCTGCCACAGTAGAACAATACAATGAGCCAGGTGCTTCTTTTCTGAAAACACATGGTCCCAATTTAACACCACCTGGAGATAACAAAATGCTCATCAGCCCTGAAATGATGAAAAACATACCACACAGAATTGTAACCAAGTGCCTGGCACGGGGGATACACTTTACAAATGTTAAGCAAGGAGCAAACTCAGCACGCAAGCACACAGGGAGCTGCGTGGCTCTTCTCATGCTCTGCAGAACCCAGAGGCACAGTCCTAAGGAAGAGAAATGTTTTTTTAACTAAAAGTCACTTAACCACTACTGGACAAAGAATGTTTTGATTTACGGAATCTCAAAACACAGAAAATACAAGTTTAGTCAAGCCATGCTTGTAATCCCAGCACTCTTGGCTGAAAGTTCAAGTGCAGCCTGGGCAACTTAGTGCCTCAGTGAAAACCTGTCTCAAAAGAAAGGGGCTGCGGTAAGGGCTGAGGATGTAGCTCAGTGATGCCCTGGGCTCAATCCCCAGTCAGAAAAAAAAAAAATTTAGCCAAGGAGAAACGTGGTGAAACAGCTAAAAGATTCAAATTCAGTATTTTTATTTGTTGCACACAATTACAAAAGATAGTTTTCAACCTATCACTTAGGAGGATTAGGAGAATATATTTTCAAAATAAAAGATATCATCAAGTAATTGGTGAGTTGTATTTTTATAGAGTCACAAAATACCAAGAAGTTTTGAGTTATGACAATAGTGTGTACACTGTCACTGGCATTGATGACAATCTGAAAAGGTCTTACCAGAAAAAGACTGTTGCTGGTCTTTTTTTAACAAGTGCCAGGGCTGCAGAGGCCAGGATGGAAGGGTACCAATATGGGCCTAACTTCAGAGTTCAGAACGGATCCTGTTCAATGCAATGCACTGGACTAGAAGTGGACTGAGTAGTCCACTGCACTTTTTTTTAAGAGGAAAGGAAGAAAACTGAGAACCCAAGATCATAAGCTCCCTGCATACTGTAAAAAAACAGTGTACAAACCTTTCTAAACAAATGAAATGTGTTGCCCATTTAAACAAATTCTT